CAAAAAAAAGACAAAAATTGAGATTTTCATCTCCCTACCACCCCCTTGGCCTGAACAAAGGGGGTTGATCATATTGTGGAGAATGGGGAGGCTGTTCCAGATCATTTCGGAATTTAGAACTTAAATAGGAACAATTTTCAGTTTTCGTATTAAGGTATGGGGCCCCACAGATCCTTGCTACGGCCCTGAACTTTCGCTGCCAAGTCGGCTGCTAACTTCAGCGTCATATCCTAAATTGGCGGGTTTCTCATTGTTATATCATTTATGACATTTATCTATAGAAAAAATAGGATATGAGAGAAAGCAATGCCCTGGGCGACACCGGGAAGGGGGGTGGGGCCAGCTAGTAATAACAAATTTCAAAGTCAAAATAAAGTTCAAAGGTCGTGCATAAAGTGAATTCTTTTTTACACACTTAAAATTCCCTTTTCGGCACTCCATTTGCGAAGCCTGTTGTGACAAACTATATTTCTAACCTAGAGAGATGATTGGGCGACCATATCAATATGATCAGTAATTTTTGCTTGAATCACGAACAAAGAAATGCAATAAATTTATTACATGTAAAATTCATAATTTAGTTTTTGGAAGAGTCCGGAAACAAAAATAAGAATAGAGGGCAATCTGATGAAATATTCAGAATTCAACGGCCAAGGAAAAACCTGGAACACCTAGGAAAATAATGCAGATATTTAAAACTTCAAGCACCAAACCTCACCCTAACGCCTGCATTTGATGCATAATGACTAGTTTATTTCTGAATAATCAATTCAGGTATACTCTGTCTACCAGTCGTAAAAAAATTGGAAATTTTTCAAGGGTTTACAGTTTTGAATATCTATTCATAAGAAAGTCGATCCATACTGGCCTTAAGAAAATCTTCCAAATGCTGTCTTCAGTTAGAATAATTCATTTATAACAACTAGATAAATAATGTTAACTTTACTTGAAATAATTACTAATTCCTGAAATAATTCTAAGTTTCTTCTAATTGATTATGTATTTCAAACATGACAATTCAATTCATATTTTTAAAAAATATCATTAATTTATTATTATTTTTAATTTAATATTACAAATTTGGTTATTGCTGTTCACAAATTGAAAAAAAATCTTACCTGCAGGCCCACTGCTGCACAGCTCCCCTCATCGACGGCATCCAGGCATTCCAAATAAGCTGATCATAAGGATGCATTCCATCCTTAACTTGCAGAGTACTCGTCCCAGTCTCCAGGATATCCTTCCACTCCTTCATCAAGCTCACCGGCAGCTTAGGATCCACCAAGGGGCTCCAGGTCGCCAGATACTCCTTGACCTTGGGCCCCACGAAGCTGCTCGCCAGTTCCCCCAAGTCGTACATCTTGTACTCCTCATAGTACCTGTCCTGAAGTCGCTTGAAAGCCTCTGCTGTCTCCTTCAACGACAATTCCTCATTCTTGTCCATGAGCTTATCAACAATCGAGAGTACATTCTCCAGGGTGTCAATGAGCTTCTCATGATGAGTTACGATCTTCGAAATGCTCTTCTTCTCGGCCTCGAGGGCCACAACTCGATCTCCAAGGTGGCGAGTCCTCCTGTCGTTTTGAATGATGTCTTGTTCACACATGTCCACAAGGAGATTCAGATTGTGCTGGAGCTCTGGAAGCGAAAAGTTCACTGGGGATCGTTTGTCAGGCTCTGGAAGAGACTCATCTGGTCGTTTCTGTCCAGAAATTGCGTGGTAACCACTGAGAATCCTCTGCTCTGGTCCTGTCATGTCTATGACCTTGACTCTGCTCAATTCACCTCCAGCAGCCCCTGAGGATTTGATATTCGGTCGCAGTTTTCCATCCTCCAGGACTTGATCAACACTTCGATAACAGTATCTTATTTTCTTCTTCGTGGTTGCAGTGTCTGTCTTTCGCCACTGGGATAATTTCACTTTGAATTGTTTCTCTTCCTCTTCGTCCTCGTCTTTACGCTTCTCAGGGAGTTTGATCTTCTTTTCGGGTCCATAAGCCCCAATAGCTCCTCTGCCCCTTCGAAGGTGGGCTTCGACAGGGGCGGAGATACCCTGGAGCTTCTTACCCAGACCTTTGCCAGGCTCGAAACCCATTTGTAGAAGCAGCTTTGCTCCAATTCCTTTCGTGTGCTTCTCCCAACTGCCCACTCCGGTTTTTATGAGGGCTGGATTCACCGGGGCACGTTTCCTGCGAAGACCTGCAATGTCGCCTTCCAGGTGCATGGAGAAGGATGGCCTTGATGTTCCACTCTTCATGTTCTCGGTTTCAGAATCACTAGGGGAAGAATAAAAAAATTGGAGTTAGAATTTTGACCAATATGCGCGGTTTTGGGAACCAAAATAGAGAAACTTTTTTTTGTAAATGAATGGATTCTTATTGAGAATGATTCCTTCATATCATTGAGTAGTGGAAGAAACACAATTCAGTAACAAAATGGGACAAGGGTTAAAATTAAAATTTGCAAATTCTTTGAAGAGATCCGCAAAAATTATTATCATTATCTAAGGAGTCAATTTGGTGAAAATTCCATTTTCGAAAAAAAATCGACTCAAGTCATTTCACTAGTTCGCTGTTGAATTGAATAATGGCTGAAGTATAGTTAAATAATAAGATAGGTATTTAATTATTTAATGATAATTAAATTATTATCCATGTATTATTATTAATATATTAATAATAATGTTTCAGTTTTTGCGTTCTATCAGCTCATTACAAAATTAAAATTAAGAGTGTTTATCTTTTTTTCCTAAAACTATTTATCGTTACCGATTTGACAAGATGCAATGATTACATACGGGCTTGTTAGGGATATATTTTGAACGTGATGATTCATTCACTAGGAGACTCCCGATGTAAAAATAATAAAAACAGGGGGCAATTGAAAAAATATTGTTTCCAATGGACACAGAGAAATCTGAGATGTCCAAGCAAATAACGGGAATTTTCAAAATATCAAACCTCATATAACTTTATGCTATTGTCTAAATCTAGTGTACATCATTCATATCATTCCAGAATAATTAACTCGGATTCGCGTATTAAAATTTTTATTAACATCAGGAGGATAACTCTATTTATCAGTTGGGAAAAAATCAACAGATTTCAGACAACTTTTGCTGTTGAAAATTAAATTTTTCATAATTAATGTGGATCCAAAGAGAAACTTTTCATTGTAGATGAATGAATTTTTATTGAAGAAGGTGCCTTGATATTTTTAAATAATGATGAAAAACACGTAAGGGAAAATAAAAGATAATGTTATATTTTAATTTTTGTATTTCATCAACTCTCTACAAAATCAAAATTAAGAAAAAATAAAACACTGCATTTCTACAATTGTTCATCTTTGTCTTGAATGTGTGGCAATAATTAGACAAAACTGCTGTGTGAATTTTCCATAATTAATCGATTCACTTTGAAAGTGAAGGATTTTAGAGAGAACTTTAAAGAAAATTTCATTCGGAGATGAAAAAAGAATGTAATTGAAAAAAGTTCGCTGAGATTTTTTAATAAGAAAAAAATGTCACAATTTATTTTTTGTGTTTCACTCGCTCACTGTAAAGTTCAAAATTCAGAATATAAAGACACTGTGGCTCTGAAATTGTTCATCATCCTCTGAAATGTATAGTAATAATTTTGGAAAATTGAATTTGAATAAGAAAGGAATTATGAAGTTCAGAGTGGTTCTACTCGAAAACCGAATGAAACGTGGAGGAAAAGTTTTTCAAAATTGAATTAACAGAGAAATTGGAACTTACCTGGAACTGTTGGGTACGTAGTCAGCATCGCCTCGTTTGGCCCTCCCCGTGTTATCATCATCATCATCATCATCATCCTCATCTTTATTTTCCTCCTTTGGTTTTCCTGCTTGTTGAACTCCACCTGCGACGAAACTGACAGGAGCTGTGTAATTCTTGGGGGCCTTAGATGTCCCTTTAAATCCCCCCTTGAATGGTCTCGCTGGAGCCTCTTCATCGCTGTCGTCAGCCCAAACTCCTAAATATCAAAAGACAAAAAGATTAGTACATGCAAATTTCATGGACAGATGGAGTCAATTGGGTCAAATTTCAAGAATGGAAAGAAAATAGGGTCAAATCTGAACTCTTCAGGGGGAGTGGTAAATAACAATAAACATTTTAGCAATAATAGTAATAAAAAGAGAAAGAATGTATAAATATAGGGGCGAGTGAGACGAAACTGACACTTTGAACCTAGGCAAAAGTTAATAACTCTTTGAATTGTTAAGAAAATCAGATAATTTTTTTGTCATTGAAAGCATAATTCTTTCCCTTTGTGGTGGGTCTAGTCTGTGCTCCATTAATATATTCGTTTGTAAGTTATGAAAATTGGTAGAAACAATTCAAATACCCATTTCACCCCATTCTCTGTTACAAATTAATTCAAACTCTCTTATTAATAATTCTAACTCTCTTATCAATTAATTTAAACTGTTAAGTTGGGAGAAAAATGTTAAATGACTCCCTTTTTATAACATTCCATGGGACTACAGTAAATATTTACCAACGGTCTTTTCCTACAGTACTATATTATTGAAATATTTACCAAATGATTTGTATAGAATTCCCTTTGATTTCGCAATAAATCAAAAACAACATTTCTGATTATTTTGAAGATATTTTTGGAATGAAGACGATTTAAAAAATTGATTCAATCTATTCCCTTTCTGCAGGGAATTTTCTGGACTACAATGAGCTTTTCTGTTTTTTAAAGACATTTGCACAATGATTTATACAGAATTACTTACTAATCTGTATCTAAACGTCTGAAAGAATTCATTGAGACATTTTTTGCAGTGATCTATAAAAAGCTTTTGCAATTGTTTTCCCCAATGAATTATTCATCGAAATATTTACACAACAATATTAATATTGATATTAATTTTTTTTGTGTATTAGACTTTTGCTAAACTCCACCACTAGATTAATTATTGACAATATTGAATTGACCAATGCAAATTGAGCTTACCCAGCATTTGCTGCTGCTTCGTGAGCTTCCTCCGAGGACGATTGATATTAAACTCATTATCCAGATCGTAATCCGTGATTTCAAAACGTTCCACTTCGTCGTCAGACATTTTTTCAATTCTTTATTCTCAATATAACAATTGTAATTATTTATAACATATTACTCCCAATCCCTCCGCTGATTACGGGGTTAGGGCAACGTAAACGAGGCACAAACGTCAGAGAGTTCTGTCGGTAAAAGCGACAGAACTTTTGCATAGTGCTGCCATTTCCGGGTAATCTTATTTATTTGAATCGGGAAAAAAGTTCGACACATGTTGTTGTTGTTATTCCTTACCGGTTGTTATTCCTGTTTACCGGCACGAAAAAATTTAATAGAAAAACCTATCGAATTCGTTAGAAAATTCTATTGAATTTCTATTAAACTTTCTATTAGTTTTTGGCTGATTCTATTGACATGTTCAATAGAAAACATTCAATAGAAAAAGTCAACAGAATTCGATTTTTCTATATAACTTATTCTTTTCATATATTTTCTATAGAATTTACTCAACTCAAATTTTCTAAGTTTTGTTCATTCTATTTTTCTTTTCTTCTCATCAAGAAAATCAAACGAAAAAACTTAAAAAATTTGAGCCGAGGACATTCTATTGAAAATATCTCAATAGAATAAGTTATATAGAAAAATTGAATTCTATTGACTTTTTCTACTGAATATTTTCTATTGAACATTTCAATAGAATCGGCCAAAAACTAATAGAACAGTTCCATAAAAATTCAATAGAATTTTCTAACGAATTCGATAGGCTTTTCTATTAAATTTTTTCGTCCGTGTATGAAAAGGAAAGTACCAATGACGTTCGACAGATTGACACCACGATAAAGAAAGTGCATAAGCTACAATAATGTAAATGCTCTACCATTATAGCGCTTTTCTTGACATGTTTTTTTTTCTAACTTATCCGGGTGTGTTTCTTTGAAACATTTTTTCTTTTCAGTTTCGACGTTTTTCTTGGAAATTGAAATTTCGATAAAACAATTGAATCCTATCATGCAAGGGGAGGTGAGGGATTGGAGGTTATTTCAGTCCCCAAGAAACACGTCAAAATCCGAAACAAAAATCAGGAGCGAAGTCGTAAAACGGTACAAGTCAATTTTGACTATTGACCAATTTTCAGTAAATATCTCGGAATCTAAGGGAGATAGCAAAATTTATGTTATAACCTCTTTTGTAGAGCGAATTGAGAGCTACCACAAATGCAATTACGAAAATTTCGTTATCTCCATTAGATTCGGAAATATTCTTCAAAAACTCAACTGGGAGATAAGTTGACTTAATCCGTTTTACCACTTCGCTACTGAATTCATTTCGAAGAAGTACATCCAGACAAGTTGAAAAAAAATCGTGCCAAGAAAGGCGCTATTAGATATTAGTATTGACTTAAAGATGACTCGCGCAAGTTTTATAATTTTACCACATGAATAATCCTCTGAAATCGAATGTAATTTGAATTAAGGACATCTAGATTGGGTAAGTAAATTACATCGGGTTAATAACATACACGGAAAAAAACTATACTTGAATTGAGTATATTTTATACCAGAATCAAGTATATACATAAACCCGGTTCAAGAATAAAATATACTTGATTTAAGGTACTTCCTCAGTGAGTTATACTTGGTGAAAATTTCGCAATGGACTGAAAACCTAAAATTTGGATCATATGTTGTTGAGCCTATGTGAAAACGATTCCCAAAATTTCAAGTATTTTTTCCACGCGAATTTTTGAGATATGCATCGACAAAAACTTAAAAAAGACAAAAATTGAATGTTTGACGATGGATATCTCAAAAATTCGCATGGAAAAATACTTGAAATTTTGGGACTCGTTTTTACATGTCCTCAACAATATATGATCCAAATTTTAGGACTTTAGTTCATTGCAAAATTTTCACCAAGTATAACTCACTGAGGAAGTACCTTAGTGTATCCCGGAAAAATAGACCAAGGGAAACTTTCAAGTTGGATGGGTTTTAACATGTTTCGATGTGTGGGCCACATTTTCCTGGTGTATTTTTCCTGCCTACCGATTTAAGTATATTATTCGTGATTCGAGTATATAATATAGGGAAGGGTGGGACAAAATGAAACAATGAGGTATGACGTTATGAGTTTTACCCGGAGGTAAAACTCAGTGAATGGTAGTACTTTTCCTTCGGCTATCACCTTCAGTGCGTGGAATCTCCTTTAACACTACACCTTTTCACGTATTCCTGCACTGTAATCCTTTGGTGTGGTCACTTAATCCTCAGCTAACTTCTGCGGTAACTCCATGGGGGATTCGCTCATTCGTAGGGATATTAGGACAGGTATCGGGGATATTACTTGTGAAGTTCCAAATAAATACTCGCGTAGTTATCGGTAAAAGGATGGTATATTGTCTGTTGTTTGTTTAAAGTACACGACTCGGTTTATGATGGGTTGGTATACGCGTTATTAATACTCGACTAGGGACTTCGACTCGATTTGTTGGCTGAAGGCCTGAGCTAGAGGTCCGCTCGACTCTGCTCCTGATCGTATTCTGCCCTTGTAGAGTCTTTGTAAAACGCTCAAGACCTAAAATTGCAGAGCAAGCAGTCTCACAGTCCCGAAACACTAAGCAATTAAGTGTCATCATTAACACACAACTAGAACAGTCAAACAGCTTCTTTACCGAGAAGCTGGACTCAGATGGCACCGTGAGAGTGCTGAGCTCTGCTCCTGCACGATGAGAAAGAAATCATATTTCTTTTCTCATCGTCCCACATTATAAATTTAATGTAACGTATTATTCATAATACCTCACATTGTATTCAACAAATAACCGACGTATTAATGATAATACATCACAGAGGCAAAATAAAACAGACGTAAAACGACTATTTGATGCAATTCAAGCAAAAAAATTTTTTTTCTATCAACTTTTATTGATAAACTTTTATTATTATTGGGAGTATTGATGAGAATAATATTGTTCTATTCGTCTTATAATTCAATTGACTACAATTCAATTGATTAGATTAGGCCGATTACACTTTTTTTTTCATTTGATTAAAATTCAGTATCACATTTTCTTTTTTCCCTTTTCTCTGGAAAATTGCTCTCCAAAAAGTCCGAGACGAATAGTGAATTTTTTTTTCGTTGGCCCGCGAAAATTTACTGAACGTGAGGATCATTTGTGCCGAAACTGTAAAATTTACCCTGCATCCCATCAAAAATTATCTCAATGCACATGAATGATTACTCAATATTGCATCTAATTTTTCCGTAACAAAGAACGATTTTTTACCGAACGCGTTCGGCAAAATTTCACTTCCATTGTCCTCATAACCGTCAAATGGATGCAAAAAAATACCCTTCTGATGTGGGAAATTTTACTGTACAGAGGATAATTTTAGCATTCATAGATGTGTTTTTTCCTGAACGAATCGTAAAATATCCTCTACAGACAGGTATTTTTTCAATGAATTACATTTTGCCACGATTACCGCAGTAATTTTTAATAGTAATAGTCAAATTAGCCACGATTTTCTAGATAATTTTTGTCCACCTTTTCTCTCCCTATTCTTGATCAAATCTTTCTTAATACATGTAGTTAAACACCAGAACCTGCAACTATGTGCAGCAGTGCTTCAACTACTTGGACGTCCAATCAGTAGTGAAGTGGTCAATCGGTTTAAGTTGACTCAGCTCCCAGTTGAGTTTTCGTTGAATAACTTGGAATTTAAGAAAGATAGCGAAATTTTTGTGAGATCGTTGTCGATAGTTGTCATAGTCTTCACTTTTCTTTACAAAAAAGATTTTTAGGAAAATTTTACTAGCTCCTTTAGAATTTGAGATATTCATCGAGAACTGGCACTAGAATAGAATTGACTTAAACCGTTTGACCACTTCACTACACTGAGAGAAAAACAAACACGTTGTTAAGTCTCATTTGGGCCACCAAAATCGCTAGTTGAGAATTGCCAAAAAAGAATTTGTTCAGTTCAAATTGGAAAGTCTCAAACATGAATAATTGTTCTGCTTTCGACAGCAACGAAATATTTGGCTCAAGAGGCGGATAATTCACACCAGACGGTGCCTTTTCAGGATGAACATATCTCACATAGCGGAAAATTTATCAACAAATATTTTACTCCTCAGTTACAAGATTGCTATCATATCATTATTATTGTATCATTTAAGGGTTCATTTCTTGTCTGGGATTATTAGACAGCTGAAGCGAAAAATTACTATCCCTTGTTTCGCATAAAATAAAAATTTTTCGGGAGCAAAATACGTAAGAGAGTATCGAATAATGAAGGAGTAGTGCTAGAAATGACATTTCTTGCGTGTACAGAGAATGCAATGTTTGTTTAAGGAGACCGCGGTGAAATTTGAATGTCTCGGCTCGGCCTTAAGAGCCATTGGATGTCTTTTGATATATGAAGGGATATATAAAAAAGTGAGAAAAATTTCGGACCCGAACCGTTTTGCCCCGTATATCCACCAAAAACGTCATTTTTCACGTTTTTAGCTTAAAAATGGGTGACACGTCTAAACTCCACGGCGTCATTTCGGCACAACACGTCAATTCAACATTTTCATTTTCAACCAAAACTATTTCATCATTCGGTTTTCCCATCATATTCAATTTCAATATCAATTTATTTGAACATATCATTTTATTTTTCACAAAAAACACATCTAAGTATATTATTAAGTGAACGTGGTTATATACATTTGATCAGCGCGAGTGAGTATATCCATGGGTTTATCATTTGGGTTGGGTTGGTTTCGTTTGTTTTTTCGTATTGGTGTCTATATATTTATATTTCAAATGTATATGGGTTGGATGCTATGAAGATAATTGGGAGTTTTATTGTCTTTTCCTTTGGTGATATTTGCGATGTGTTTGTTGACATCCAGAGTACATGTAATGGTGTTTTTGTTTGATTTGTGTTGATTATTATGCATGGTTAAATTGTGTTGTGATGAGTTTGATTGTGTTGACTTTGTTGGTGTTGAATTTGTTGTGTGTTGAAATGTCGTGTGTTGAATTGACGTGTTGAGTTTGTTTTGTGAGATATAGACATGGAACCTAAAAATGCTCCTTTAACCACAGTTTTCATCCGATTACAACTTTTTTTTTACTGTTCGTTATACTCAAACGAACAAACCC